GCTGAGCCTGGGGGTGCAGAGCCTGGGGGTGCTGAGCCTGAGGGTACTGAGCCTGGGGGTGCTGAGATTGGGGGTGCTGAGCCGCAGAGTTCGGAGTCTGGGGGTTCTGAGTCTGGAGGTGCTGGTCCTGGGAGTCCTACACCTGGAGGAGCCCTCTCCTCGGAGCAGCTGCGTGAGTGGTACTTACAGTACTGGAGCCTCAGGAGAGGTACCCCTAGAGCCAGGCGTGCTGCTGGGACTGGTGCTTGTGCCTCTCCTCCTTGTCGGGAGCTCTCCTCTCGTGAGCGGATCCGTGAGTGGTATGAGCGGCGCTGCACTCTTCGTAATGGCGCGCCTGGTGTGGCGGACCCCACTGCTGCTGGCGGTGCTGCTGGTGTTGGAGACTCTACTGGTCCTTCTGGTGTTGCGGACCCGTGTGTTGGAGCTGCTGCTGGTGTTGAGGACCTTGGCGCTGGTGTCCCTGCTAGTTCTGGAGTTGCTGCATGGCCGTAGCTGTACTTCGTTTTGCTCCTTCAGCAGGCTCTTGGTCAGCTCCCTCCTCCTTGTCCTCCTCCCTCCTTAGGGTGTCCTCTGTCTGTCTAGCTGCAGTCACAACTACCGTCTGCCTCCTCTCTCCCTGGTCCTGCCCCTTACACTAGTCCGACTGGAGGTCTTACTGAGCGTCGTGAGCCTGGGTCTCGTCCTGCGTCGCCTGAGTCTCGTCGTGCGTCTCCTGTACGTGCTGCTCTCATTGGTAGTCGTGTCCCACGCCGGCGTCTCCCTACAGTCCTAGGCACTCAACGGATGGCGCTTCGTCCCTCAACTGCACCACAGTGCATCCCACTGCTGTCTCCTCCTGCTTCCTCTCTTCCTGCTCTTGCTGACCCGGGGTCAGACTCCCTTGGTGCTGCCTGTCCTACTATCACGTGTCTCCTGGCTACTGTTGTCACTGACCCTTCCTTTGAGTCCGTTGTTGCGTCTGCCTTAGTTGCTGAGCTTGTCGACTTTGCTGCCACCTGTCGTCTAGACTAAGCCGCTAGCCTAGTTGCTGAGTCTGAGTCTGTCTATCGTCGTGCGTCGGGGGTGAGTGTGCTCTTCGCACTGACGTCCTTGAGGACAGGCAAGAGGAGTTTGAGTGCTTTGCTGCTGCTTTGCCCCATCTCGTGTCCATGCTTGTTGGCCGTGAGGGAAACCCCGATGCGCCAGACATCCCGACCCTACGCTCTTACGCAGAGGCGATGGCCGGTCCCTACTCCTCTCAGGGGTAGTCAGCCATGGACACAGAGATGGCTTCTTGGAAGTCCACAAGCACCTACGTCGACGAGGTTCCCGGGCCTGGGGCGAACATCGTCAGTGGCATGTGGATTTTCAGGGTGAAGCGGCCGCCGGGCTCTCTGCCTGTCTTCAAGGCGCGTTACATTGCACGAGGCTTCAGTCAGCGAGAGGGAGTTGACTTCTTCTAGACCTTCTACCCGACCTCGAAGATGACCACTCTTTGGGTTCTGCTGCACGTCGCCGCTCAGCGTGACTACGAGCTCCACTCTCTTGACTTCAGCACTGCTTTCCTGCAGGGCAGCCTATACGAGGAGATCTGGCTGCGCCACCCACCTGGCTTCACTAGGTCGTTCCCTCCTGGTACCCAGTGGAGCCTCCGACGGCCAGTCTACGGTCTCTGTCAGTCACCACGTGAGTGGCACGACACAGTGAGGACTACACTTGCGGCTCTTGGGTTCGCGCCTTCTACTGCTGACACGTTGCTGTTTCTACGCACCGACACCTCACTGCCGCCGTTCTACATCCTCGTGTACGTCGACGACTTGGTCTTATTGCGTGTCTGATTGCGTGTTCTTATGTAGAGTAGCCGTTTTCACCCTCCACGCCTCCCACGATCTTCTGCCACGAAGTTATTCCAACAGCAGCGCAGACAGCAACCTGAAAGCCATCCCTCTGCTGCTACCGAAGAGCAGCCGTGTTGGTTTGAACAAGTGAGAATCTGCACAAGCCACCCATGTTGGAATATCAGAACCATCGAAGTTCGCGTGTGTGTAGAAGTTGCACCTTTCCATCGCAAAAACACTCACCCGTCTGGTTTGTCGAGGTGGAGCTCGTTTAGGACGCTCCACACACCCGTAGGAAGCCATGTCGTGAAACTGAGGTCTTCGCACCATGCGTTTAAACGGTTGGGATTCATTCCGTAGACCTCCATGTCAATGTTCGGGAAAAAGAACCTCCAGCAGACTGCGACCGTGTATCCCCTCTCCCACACCGTTTTGTGGGAGCTGAGGTTCCTCTTCCGGTCGCCGACGGTCTGCTCTGACGTCCACTTTTGCAGTGGTCCCTCGCCTCGTTGGGAGAACCCGCTTCCCCTGAATGGCGCCCGGACACCCAAAGTCTTACCCTAACCGTCCACTACGGCGTTTCTCCGATTATCACACTTGTCAATCTTCCGCCCTTTTATTTCTCCTTTAGTAACCGGTATCAGCTCCTGTATGCCAGCTGCCCGGCGTCTCTCAGATGCGTGACCCTCCGGCTCCCTGTCCTTCTGCCTAGGCCTCCTCCTGGACACCTCTACGGTGTGCACGGGAACAATAGCCACGCAATCTGCTACATTCGCCTACCCGCTCTCCTCCAAACTCACCCTCCCCAGGCCCTCTCTTATTTCCTCCTCGACTCCCTCCCCGGTCCCCTCCTCTTGCATGGTCCAATCCTCCTCCTCCATCTCCCGTGCCAAACGTTCCGTCTCTTCCGCCATAGCCTTTACCTTTGCCTCTAGAATTCGCTGCTTTTCCGCGTGGGATGCAAGTCTGGCCCTCTTCTCTGCTCGACGATGCCACCGCTCTTCCTTCTGCTGTTTCTCCCTCTGCTGCCGCTCAGCCTCCTCTGCCTCCTTCCTTTGCGCATCCTGCTTCTACAGGCGCTCCATCTACTGCTGTTTCTCCCTCTGCTGCCGGTCTGCCTCCTCTGCCTCCTTCCTCTGCGCATCCTCCTTCTTTAGGCGCTCCATCTCCTATTGTTTCTCCCTCTGCTGCCAGTCTACCTCCTCTGCCTCCTTCCTCTGCGCATCCTCCTTCTGCAAGCGCTCCATCTCCTGCTGTTTCTCCCTCTGCTGCCGGTCTGCCTCCTCTGCCTCCTTCCTCTGCGCATCCTCCTTCTACGGGCGCTCCATCTCCTGCCGTTTCTCCCTCTACTGCCGGTCTGCCTCCTCTGCCTCCTTCGTCTGTGCATCCTCTTTCTGCAGGCGCTCCATCTCCTCTTGTTTCTCCCTGTGCTGCCGGTCTGCCTCCTCTGCCTCCTTCCTCTGCGCATCCTCCTTCTACAGGCACTCCATCTCCTGCTGTTTGTACCTCTGCTGCCGGTTTGCATCCTGTAGCCTCTCCACCTCTTACTGTTTCTCCTTCTGTAGATGGTCGGCCTACGTTGCCTTCTTGCTCTGCTCCTCCTCAGTTTGCCGCTGCTCCTCCTCCTGATGTTTCTCCCTCTTCAGCCGCTCGGCGTCCACTCTCATAACCACTGCCAACCTCTTCTCCACCTCATTTAGCATCCCCTCCTTCAACTCCTTCATCCTCGACTTCATCTCCGTCACACCCTCCATCATCTCCTTTATTCCATCCTCCACATCCTTCTGCCGCCACTCTTCGTCCAGGTGTTGCTTCTTCCTCAACCGCTCTGTGGCCTCTGCTTCCTTTCTCTTCTCCTCGTCCTCCTTTTGTCTCTCCCTCCTCTACTGCTCGGAGTCCTCTGCCAGAACCGCTATCAACCCCTCTACCACCTGCTTTACCATCCCATCCTTAGTCTACTTCAAACCCGCCTTCATCTTCTTCATCACCTTCATCAATTCTTTCATCTCCTTCATCCCCTCTCCCGTTGCCTTTTGCCGACGCTCCTCCTCTTGTTGATTCTCCTTCTTCCGTCTCTCAGACTCTTCAGCTACCTTTTTGCTCGCCTCCTCTTTCTGCCGACGCTCATCCTCTCGCTGTTTCTCCTTCTTCAGCCGCTCGGCAGCCTCTGCTTCCTTCCTTTTTGCCTCCTCCTTCTACCGCCAATCCTTCACCTGCTATATCTCCCTCTTCCGCCATTTAGAGTCTTGTCTCAGAACCTTTGTCAGCCTCTCTACACCCTCCCTTAACATCCCCTCCTTCAACTCCCCTCCTGACTGGCAAACCTGATCTTTAACGCTTTGCATACTGGCCTGCAAGGTAGAGAGAGTGGAACGGATGTGCTCGCGAAACTCGGCCGCCGTTTGCGCTTCCCATCGCCATTCTTCGTTTCCATGTCGGACCTCTGCTAAGTTGGCGAGGGCGTCACAGCAGTAATGGGCAGTCAGATCATGGACGTCACGAATGATACTCCTGTTGCGGGCCATAATGTTACAGAAGGTTTGTGTCATCATTCGCGCTACTAGGGCCAGACGACGCGTCACCTCTCCTGTGCTGATGTCCCAGCTCTCCTCCTCAATGAACCCGTCCTCCTGTTCAACCAGGAGTGTACCCGTGCGCCGCAGCATCCGCCGAATGGCCGCCTCTGCCTCCACCCACTCTACCTCCACCCACATCGGAATTTGAGGTCCGCTCTCCTCTAACTCTCTCTCTCGTGCTCCCTCTGCATTTAACATTCCACTACAACCCTCGCCGCACCGTCTTCAACCCCTCTACTTGACCTCTTCGTTGTATTTCCCAAAAACCTCCACACCCACGGATCTACCCCATCCTCCCCTCTATCAGCGGCAACTATCATGTATTCTTTACGTCCTATGCGAACATCTGCTGCCGAATGAATCGGCTCCACGTCAGCCCTCCTCTGCACCCCTTGGTCCTCCAAAATCCTTGTGTCAATTCCGGCTTTCTGTGCCTCCTCCTCCGCAGCCTTCTGCGCATCTACAGCCTCCTTCCTCTTCGCCTCCTCATCCGCAAGCTTCGACGCCTCCGCAGCCTCCTTCCTCTTCGCCTCCACCTCAGCATTCTTCGACGCCTCTGCAGACGCATTTTTCTTCTCCTCCTCCTCCGTGGTCTTATGAGCCTCAGGAGTCTCAGCACTCTTTGCCTCCTCCTCCGCGATCTTCGACGCATCTGTAGCTTCTTTCCTCTATGCCTCCTCATCTGCAAGCTTCGACGCCTCTGCAGCCTCCTTCTTCTCCTCCTCCGTCGCTGGCTTCGATGCCTCTGCAGCCTCCTTCCTCTTCGCCTCCTCCTCCGCAATCTTTGACGCCTCTGGAGTCTCCTCCTTATTCGCCTCCTCCTCCGCGCTCTTCGATGCATCTGCGGCCTCCTTCCTCTTCCCCTTCTCGTCCGCAAGCTTCGATGCCTCCTCCAGATTCCTCTAAACATCCTCCTCTGCAAAGTTCTGCTCCTGTGCAACCGCAATCGTCTGCCAGTTGACTTCTTCGGTCCTATGGGCCTCTGCATCTGCTGTCGTCTGCGTCTCAGCATCTGCGTTTTACTACGCCTGCGCATCCGCCATCTTCAGTGCTCCTGCTTCTGCGTCTCCTCCGCCGCCTTATTCTTTGCCCCTACATCCGCGACCTTCTGTGCTTATGCATCATTCTTCCTCTGCTTATCCACCGCCTTGATTCTCCGCGCCTCTGCATCCGCCTTTTGAAGCACATCCGCCTCCGCTATCTTCAGCGCCTGTGCATTCGCAAGCATCCCCGCCTCCGCCACCCCGCCTTCCCGAAATTCTACCGCCCTCTTCTTATGCATATCATCATCTACCTCCTTTTGCACCTTTTCAGTCGCCTCTGGCTCATCGACGTCCAGTCTCTGTGCCTCTTTGGCCGCCTTCCACTTAATCCTTGATGCGCAACTTTTCAAGAAACCCACGTCCTTCTCAATCCGCTGCCGAAGATTGCAGGCGAGATCCACTCCTCCCACTCCCACATCTGCACATGCCGTGCCGCGTCCCACACGCTCCATAGCATCACGGGTGTCACTCGGTTGCAGCGGATCTTCTATACCCGCCTCTCCCGGTTGCTGCGGATCTTCTACACCCTCCTCGCCTTCCTCCAATCCCCCCACCAGGTCCGTCTGCAAGTTTCCAGCCAGCGTCCCCACCCCTTCTCTCTATGTCTCAGTTGTGCAACGAGCAGACCTCCTAACACGCTCCGAGAACCTGGGCTGTTGGCCTCCCCTCCTCCCCCGTTCATCTGCTGCGGCTATCCAGTCTCCCGGACCAGGGGCTGTGCGCCTCCGAGAATAAGGTACTTCCGCAACCGTTGGTGCCACTTCTTCTGCTGCCGCGGCACCGTCTCCCCACCTGTCGTCCTCCCGTGCACTTCTCTGCATCGACGCCACCGTCACCGCCTCGGCCCTCCCAACTCTGCCGTCTTGAACCGTCTCCGCATCTTCGACCCTTTCCTCCACCGTCTCCACCTCGTCAGTCGCCTCATTCCCTACAGCAGGTGCATCGTCCTCAAACTGGTCGAAATAGGCACAGCATCCACTCACAAGCATATATCCGACCTCGTCATTATTTTTGTCGGGGCCTAAGTTGATCAGGTTGTCTCCGCTGTGCAGCGCTAGGAGGTCTCCCCACTTGTCCAAGAGTTTGCTAAATAGGTGAGTCACTTGTAGGCCCGATCCCACCTCATGCCGGCCCTGTACCTTGTTGATCTGTGAGAAAACTGAAACGAGAATGAAATGACAAAGTGAAAGTTGGGTACAAAAACAAACCCTAGAAAGCCGTACCCCATATGTGCTACCCCACTACAGCCAACAATAGCTATGTCATATAAATCTGACCCACCCCCATAGGCAAAGTGGGGGAGTACAAGGGGTCACAAGACCAGTCAAGCAAAGCAACGCAAGCTCAGGGTGGATCACAACGTCACCACACATTCCGAGCACAAGGTCAAGGCCACAAGGCCAGTTCACATGCACGAGTACACATACATATATAAAAGACTAGACAAGCAACAAAAGGAGAATATATATAAGTAGCAGTACAAGCAAGGTCAAGAGGTGAGCAAGTAAGGCAAGGCAAGCACAAGACCTAGCAGAGTACAGAAGCGCAGATGATCACAAGGCGCAAGCGCCTTGGTGAAGACATCAGTAGTGTTGGCTTCAGAGGCCACGTCCGGAAGAAGCAGCTGACCACGCTACTGCAGCTCACGAGCAAGGAAGTAGCGGAGAGCAATGTGCTTCGTTCTCTGCTCCAGTCTCTGCTCTCGACACAAAGCCAGCATGGCCTTGTTGTCTATGTACACCACTCGAGGAGAACGAGGCGGCTCTTAGAGGTCAGTCAGCAGGTAGGTGAGCCAGCGAAGCTCCTGTGCAGCCATGGCCTCGGCGTAGATCGCAGCCTCACAACTGGAGCCGAGAACAGAAGACGAGCGCGTAGCCCACCACGAAACAGAGCCCGAACCAAGGCTGAAGGTATAGCTCTGTGACGACCGCTGCGTAGCCTGGTCGTCAGCCCAAGAAGCGTCTGCGTGCCCAGTGAGGACCACTGGACTCTGCCCTCCAAGCACAAGCCCCATGCCCGACGTACTGCACAAGTAGCGCAACACCCTCTTCACTGCGGCCATGTGCTCCGGTCTGTGTCTCCCAGGAGCAACATAGCGCGCGAGAATGCTAAGAGGGTATGCAAGGTCAGGTCGTATGCAGGTCATCAGGTACATGAGGCAACCAACAAGCTCTGGGTACGGGCCACTCGACTCTACGAACTCATCCGAAGGCAGAGTTGAGAGCAAGTGGCGAGTAGACAGAGGAGTGGCCTGAGGCAAGGAGTACGTGAAGCCGAAGCGCTAAGCACCTGCTGCACCATGTGTGACTAAGTCAGAGTAATGGTGCGGCGTGCTCTGTCCCGGGTGATCTGCAAGCCAAGGTAGCTGCGCAGTTCACCCAGGTCAGTGCACGTGTGTCTCTTCTGCAGCTCGGACTTCACGTGGACGAGTCCAGCAGTGTCAGCAGTGGCAAAGACCAAGTCGTCGACGTACACGAGGATGTAGAACGGCGGCAAAGAGGTGTCGGTGCGTAGAAACAGCGACGGGTCGGCAGTAGAGGGAGAAAACCCAAGAGCCGCAAGCGTAGTCCTCAGTGTGTCATGCCACTCACCCGGTGCCTGGTGGAGACCGTAGACTAGCCGTCGGAGGCTCCACTGGGTGCCAGGAGGAAAAGTCCCAATGAAGCCAGGTGGGCGCCGCAGCCAGATCTCCTCGTGCAGGCTACCTTGCAAGAAAGCAGTGCTGAAGTTAAGAGAGTGAAGCTCGTAGTCGCGCTGAGCGGCTATGTGCAGCAGCACCCAAAGAGTGGTCATCTTCGAGGTGGGAGAGAAGGTCTGAAAGTAGTCAACTCCCTACCGCTGACTAAAGCCACGAGCCACGTACCGCGCCTTGAAGAAAGGCGGAGAACCCGGCGGCCGCTTCAGCCTGAAAATCCACATGCCACTTAAGATTCTCGCCCAAGGCGTGGGAACCTCGTCGACGTAGGTGCCTGTGGACTTCGAGGAGGCCATCTCTGCGTCCATAGCTGCCTGCCACTGAGAGGAGTAGGGACCCTCAACCGCCTCCGCGTAAGAGCGCAAAGTCGGGATGTCTAGTGCATCCGGGTCTCCCTCAGGGGTAAGCAGTACGGACACAAGATGAGGTGAAGCAGCAGCTTGACACTGGAACTCCTCCTGCCTGTCCTCAACGACGTCCGTGCCAAGAGCACACTCACCCCCGACAGACGGAGGACAGACAGACGCAGACTCAGCAACAAGACTAGCAGCGTAGTCTAGACGACAGCGAGCAGCAAAGTCGACGAGCTTAGCAACTAGGGCAGACGCAGTAGTGGACTCGAAGGAAGGGTCAGTGAGAATAGTAGCAAGGAGACGCGTGACAGTAGGACTTGCAGCATGAAGAGAGTCCGACTCCGGGTCGGCAAGGGCATGAAGAGAGGACGTAGGAGGGGAAGGCAAAGGGACACGCAAAGGAGCAATGGACGAACGCAGAGACATCCGGTGCGTGCCAGGGACAGGAGGAGTACGCTGACGCGAACCGCGACCACTAGGGCGAGCAACACGAACAGGCGACGCAGGACGAGACGCAGGCTCACGAGGCTCAGTAAGACCTCCAGTAGGACCAGTGTAGGGAGAAAGAGCAGGCAGTGGGGAGGCCGGCAGTAACAGTGACTGGACAGGTGGTGGACACTCTAAGGGAGGAGGAGGACCAAGAACCTGCTGAAGGAGCGGAACGAAGTACGGCCGAGGCCGCACAGCGACTCCAGACACAGCAAGGACAGCACCAGCACCCCCAGCGGTAGAACTAGCGCCACAGCACCTCCAGCAGCACCAGTAGCACCCCGAGTAGGACCGCCTCCCGGAGCGAAAGTAGTAGCTTCAGCGCCAACACCCTCAGCAACTCCAGCTCCAGTCGTATCCGCAAGCCCAGCAGCTCCAGTTTTCCCAGTACGAGCACCTCGGGGACCCGCGGCACCAGCACCCTCAGCAGCCGAAGAAGCAGTACGCCTCCAGCGTTGGGCAAACCACTCGCGCAGCTCCTATGGAGAGAGTGGCTCCCGCCGAGACGAAGCACCCGGAGAACCTCCAGGCACAGCACCGCCAGACGCCACATGCGCAGGCCCAGCGCCCGCAGGCTCCGCACCCCCAAGCTCAGCAGCTCTAGACGTGGCACCCCCAAGCTCAGTACCTCCAGACGTAGCACCCCAAGGCTTAGCACCCCCAGGCGTAGCACCCCCAAGCTCAGTACCCCCAGGCTCAGCACCCCCAATCTCATTACCCCTAGGCTCAGCACCCCCACTAGTACCACCCATAGGCCCAGCACCCCCAGGCGTAGCACCCACACGCTCAGCACCCCCAGAGTCAGCACCCCGAGCAGCACCAGAGTCACCAGTAACCTCGAGAGGCTCGAGTGCGTCTAACAGGGACACACCTGACAGGGCAGAACCCTGAGGGGGGAGGGGGTCTACCGGAGGGGGACCTGGCATAAGGAAGAGCGGTGGCGGGGGTAGGGACGGAGTGCGCTAGGGGAAGAGGCGGTGAAAGGGGACCGACTCGTCAAACGTGACGTCCTAGGAGGACAGAACACGACGAGAGGTGGGGTGGTAGAACTGCCACCCTGGCGCGTCAGGGGGGAAGCCAAGGAAGACGCAAGGAGTAGCACGAGGGGACAGCTTGTCCATAGACAAGTCGTGGACAAACGTCCGAGATCCCTAGACACGGAACGCAGACGCATCGCCAACCTTCCCCGTCCGTAGCAAAGCTAGGGAGGTCTCCAGCATGGAGACCCTGGGGTGAAGGTTGATCTGATGCGCTGCATACCAAACCGCAAACGGCCACAGAAAATGGGGGGCAGCCGCATGCATCATGGACGTACGGGCGACGTCCATGACCATGCCAATGCGGCGCTCACTAATCCCATTTTGCTGCGGAAGCATGAAGGTCTGGCGGATGCCTCGTGCACGACAGTAGGCTCGCGGAAGGCCAGAGGAGAATTCTCCGCCTCGGTCAGAGTGCCGATGCAGAACAAGAAAGTCCGAGCCAAAGCTCCTCATGAGCTGGAGACAAGCTGCGCGGATCCAGTCGATCAACACCTCAGTGACATCACCCTTGCTGCACAAGGAGAAGACTGTGGTGAAACGCGAGTAGTCGTCAACCACCAGCAGGAAGTAGCGCTCGTGACCCTGTCCACGGACGCGGGCCGGGCCCCACACATCCATGTGAAGCGTCTGCAGCAGGGCCTCTCTCGGAGGAAACTGGGAGGAGTGAGGGGCAGCCCGCTGCCGCCCCTCGACACAGGGGACGCAGGTAGAGCCAGGCCCCAGAGGAAGGGGAGGGAGGGACCGGGGAAGACCAGAGACAAGGACACGCAAGGCCATGCCTCGGAGACGAAGCAGGGAGGGGTGACCAAGGCGGTGGTGCCATAGGAGAGTCTCGTGAGACAAGAGGCGACACGAGTAGGGGGCAGACTCAGCACCAGACCTAGACGCTGCAGCAAACACTTGACCCGACGTAGCTACCTGACCAGACTTAGTGACAGGAGAAGACGCAGTGGTCAATGTGAACAGGCTGGACCCCGGCCGACGTGTAAACGTGGCCAGGTGCCGGCCTCTGCGAGCGTGCGTGCAGTGGGTTACCCGCTAACTCGTAGGTCAGCTCCACTCACCAAGTTCGTAGAGAATGAGGGGAGGTAAAGACCAGACAAGGTGCCAGAGGGGGCCGCCGGACACGGGAGGACAGTGGAGAAGTGGGAAAGGACAGGATTCCCAGAGGGGTCTGCCAGAGAGACTGCAGCAGGCCAACTAAGCAGCGCGAGTGTGGTGCGGTGTCGAAAGAAGGAGCGAGAATCCCTCGAGTCAAGGGCGAAAGTGAGGGAGGCCGAAGCCGACGCGGTACCTAAGAGCGCAGACTCACCAGCACCTGAGGAGGCAGACGCACAGGCACCTAGAGCAGCAGCCTCGCTAGCACCCTGAGCAGCAGCCTCACCAGTACCTTGAGCAGTAGTCTCAATGCC